TTTTTGCAACCGCCTGGTCGACATGAATAGTGCAAAACACGCGGCGGCCAATAAATACCCTGACGTTGATTGAACACGAGATTTATGATTTTACGGCGCGTGCACTGTATAACAATACGGCTTGCCTATCTTATGCAACTGGTCGCTGCGCTCCTCCCAGCGGTCGCTGTCGGGGGCGACATACAAGACCAGCCCTGCTCGCCGGCTGTAATGAGGCCGTAAAAGCTGCGCCAGCCGTTGACCCTCGCGGCCCGCCGTTGACCCCCGCGGCCCGGCCCGGCCCGGCCCGGCTCGTCCCCTGTGACCGAGCTCAAGTGGAGAACTGCCGCGAGGAGTCACCGCCGGACACGCAACACCCCTGCAAGGGATCACCGCCGAAAACGCGACACCCCTGCGAGGAGTCACCGAAGATGCGACACACCTGCGGGGAGTCACTGTCGAAGTCGCGACACCCCTGCGAGGACTCACCGCTGGACAGGCGACACCCCTGCGAGGAGTCGCCGCCGAAGACGCGACACCCCTGCGAGAAGTCGCCGCCGAAGACGCGACACCCCTGCGAGGACTCACCGCTGGACAGGCGACACCCCTGCGAGGAGTCACCGCCGAAGACGCGACACCCCTACGAGGACTCACCGCTGGACAGGCGACACCCCTGCGGGGAGTCGCCGCCGAAGACGCGACACCCCTGCGAGAAGTCGCCGCCGAAGACGTGACAACCCTGCGAGGAGTCACTGCCGAAGCCGCGACACCCTTGCGAGGAGTCACCGCCGGCCACGCGACACCCCTGCGAGGAGTCACCGCCGAAGACGCGACACCCTTGCGAGGAGTCACCGCTGGACAGGCGACACCCCTGCGAGGAGTCGCCGCCGAAGACGCGACACCCCCGAGGCTGACCCCTCCGGGACGGGGCGCTTCACTGCCACAGGCATGCTGGCGGCCGGAAATGACCAGCAGCGGCGGAGATGAAGGCAAATAAACAAACACGGGACGCCGACCTGATCAGCTGGCATACCCTAGTGACGTCATCGAAATGCGCGGCGGCTTTTCCCCGAGCTGATTCAAGTCCGTAAAACAATGACATGATCCGACTCGTAATAGTTTATGGAACGGCGCCATTGTTAGCGTGACGTCTGCGTTGTGACGAAATACCTGGGATCATCGCGCCCGCCGGGTAACGCGGCCTCCGTGTTGTCGCGAGGTTAGCAAAAACAAACATGGCGCGAGTAAAGGGCGCCCGCCGGTCAGCACTGGCCGCCTGTTTTGCGGTCCAGAGTCCGCGGGCCCCCGGGCGCCTCTCAAGATGATGCGGGTACGTGCATGGATGTTGTTTTAACTTTCAAGACGCTGTAGTGCCAGGGATGTAATCGGGAGGAACGTGCGAGCCTAAGCCACCAGTCATTCGGAAATAACTTACTACATGCGAGGCCGTAGGCTATATTTGGAAGGCGGTTTTAAATTCCTTTCTGCAGTGCGCTGCTTCCAGAGTGCGGTGGTGAATGCATGGACATTACGGAAGTGTTGCATCAAGATCGTCAAGAGCTTCATCCGGTCCGGTCTGTTCCAGCTGGAACGAGTAAGAGTGCTGCTTAGGGCTGCTCCAGCTCTCTCCATCATCTCCAGCCGTCTTCAGCCGCTTCCAGTTCCTTTCCAGCTTCTCTCCAGCTCCTCGTAAGTCATTTTCAGCACATCTCGGTCATTTTCAGCTCCTTCTTTCCAGCGGACGGCTCCAGCCCCTCCCCAACGGCCGGCTCCAGTCCCCTCCAACGGACGGCTCCAGCTCCTCTCCAGTAGACGGCTCCAGCTCCTCTCCAGGGACGGCTCCAGCTCCTCTCCAGGGGACGGTTCCAGCTCCTCTCTAGTGGATGGCTCCAGCTCCTCTCCAGGGGACGGCTCCAGCGGGTCGCCGGGCCATCATGGCCCGCATTCAGCGGGTAATGGACGGCCAGGCCGGGTGACAATGCGCTGCAGCTGGGTGGGCGACACTTAAATCTCAGCGCGTGTCGCCCGCGCCCGGCCACGGGTCGCCTGCACGTGCCCGCCCCCCAGCGCGGCGATAAAACGGCGATCGTGGCGCGGCGGGCGGCCGACGGACGACGGCGGCCCGGCGCGGGGACCGCCCGGCCCGCCGCAGACGGCGGAGGACCGGGCCGCCCGGCAGCGGCGGACGGAAGCGGACCAGACCGAAGCAGACCGGGCGAGGACCGGGCCGCCCGGCGGCGGGGGACGGAAGCGGACCAGACGGGAGCGGACCAGACCGCGGACCAGACCGCGGACGCCACCGCCCGTCTTGGCCGGGTCACACGCCCGGCGGCTGTACGGCGTCCAGCGATTCTGCTGTCGGATGGGTCAGGAGAATAAGGCTGTCTCGTCTCGTGTAAAATTACGTTTCGGATGGTTGACGAGGTCGTATGTTTAGATCTTACTGTCACCGCAGATTACAGCGTTGCGTGCTTGATACGCTATCAGCGTCCCACTGGTATATTGAAGCTGAATAGCCGGAAGGCAAATGGCTGATGTTACCACTTTATTGGCGTAGAAAATGGGACGGGGTGGGACGAGAGCACACAGTCTTCCCACTTGCAGTGAGAGCTTTTCATTAACAATCACCTAGCCGGGCTATAGAAACAGCCTGTGGTAATATAAAAATATAATTAATTTCCACGATGGTCTGGTTCTGTTTTGCCTTCTTCTTAGAATGATCTGAACCAAATTTTAAAAAAATCCAGGGCCGATGGGACAGAAAACGCAGAACTTCAAATTGTGGCCAATCCAATGGTCTTAGACACGTACTATGTTCGCCGTATTGCCATCGATCAATGACCGGTGCTCAATGGCCATGATCTGACATCGCCATCAACCACTGACCAGTGCTTAATGGCTATGATTTGACATCGCCATCGACCACTGACCAGTGCTCAATGGCCATGATGTGACATCGCCATCGAGAACTGACCAGTGTTCAATGGCCATGATCTGACATCGCCATCAACCACTGACCAGTGCTTAATGGCTATGATCTGACATCGCCATCAACCGCTGACCAGTGCTCAATGGCTATGATTTGACATCGCCATCGACCACTGACCAGTGCTCAATGGCTATGATTTGACATCGCCATCGGCCACTGACCAGTGCTTAATAGCCATGATCTGACATCGCCATCGGCCACTGACCAGTGCTCAATGGCCATAATCTGACATCGCCATCGACCACTGACCAGTGTTCAATGGCCATGATCTGACATCACCATCGACCGCTGACCAGTGCTTAATAACGATGATCTGACGAAGTTGCGATCAGATGTAGCCGAGTGACTGCTTTGCTTTTCTTCCAGCGACTGGCAGCGGAATTGTACAACCATGAACGTGGATTTTGGGGATACTTCTGGGGAATAGGGAAAGAAAACGAAAGACATTTGCCGATGGCAAAATTTTCATACTTCGAGATCACAAAACAGCACCGTAAGAGTGGAAATTTGTTAAATGGAGCATCTAACAACTCCAAGCGCCGTGTGATTTAACCCAATCTCTTGGGTCTTATTTCGGGTTTCGCCGGCAGTTTGTGTCAACGTCGTTTGAGTTCGGCTGCGTGACCCACTCCAGGAAAGCATCGTGACGCGATCTGCCTGGGCTCCGTCACACCTGACAGCTCGTGACGCGGTCCACGTGGGCTCCGTCACACCTGGCAGCTCGTGATGTGGTCTGCGTGGGCCCCGTCACATCTGATAACGGGTATTGATTTTGACCAAACACGCAATCAGACTGCCCTACGGTCAGACTGCCCACTGCGTCCCGCTATGGTATGAATGCCCAGTCCCATGATCTCATGTCCCGTCTCCCAGTCTCATGTCATGTCCTGACTGCCCAGTCTCATGATCCTGATCTCATGAGTTTGCCTTTGTCGTCTACTCTGATTGAGTCGCATGTTTTGTCTGATCTGACATAATAAATTTTGTGCTTATAAGGCCGTCTGTGTCCCTCTGATCTGGCATCATAATCTCTGCGCTGGTGAGGATGTCTGTGTTCATCGGGTATAATATCATAAGCTCCGCTCTGATAAGGCTGCCTGTATCCTTCTGGTCTGACATAATAAATTCTGGACTGATGAGGACATTCTCTCTGTGTTTCTGGTCTGACATCACGACTTCTGCGCTAATATGGCTGTCCATGTCCCTATGATCTGACATCATAACCTCTGCTCTGATGAGGTTGTCTGTGTCCCCCTGGCCTGACATCATAACCTCTGCTCTGATGAGGCTGTCCCGGCCCCGGCGGGACGCCCCCGCCGCTGCCACGGTGCCCACCCCGGGAGCAGCTGCCGCCCCCACAGGAGGCCGACTCGTAACGGCCGGCCCGGCCCGGCCAGCCGCGGCCAGCGCATTGTCTCTGGCGCGGCGGCCCCGCCGGCCGGTCAGCCAGCGCCGAAATTAATCGCGTCCCAAACTCCCTTTCACCGTACAATTGGCTCCGTGGTGCCGTCGGAACACACGTCTCGGGGTGAGAGGGGGGGGGGGGGAGGGGGGCTACAGGGTGTCCTGGCCCACAGAGTGGACTGTGCTGCGTACAAATCCCGCAGAATATGCGACAAGTGGTCGCCTACGAATGTTAGATGGCGACGTTTGGCCGCACCGCGCTATCTCGAAGGGCCGCGTGCTTCCTCCTGGCTCTGCGGAGGCAATACTTTGTCATGCATGCAACGCAATCTGACACCAAATTTTTCGGGTTAGTCGCCAAGTAAGCACTTCCTTAAACCGACTTCTGTCAACCCTATCAAGGTTTTTATTTCACGATATCCAACAATACAGATCATAAATGACTATTAACAGATATCACGCTTGATCTAAATCACAGGTAGCTGGTTTCGCCACCGCCCTCTGCCACTATGGGTTCCAAAATCCGGGCCCGCGATTTCCAATGAGCGACTTACGTTGTCCACACCAGCCAACACAATTTGAAGGGAGGTAGAGCCTCGTTGCAGGCAAAACAGCTGACAACTAAACATCATTCACGGCCATCCTTAGCCACGACAGATTCAAACGGTCTGAAGAAGCTGCTCTGCTCGGAGGAGACGGCCGGTGAGAGGGCGGCGGCGGCGGCTGCTGCGGCGGCGGCGGCGCTGACTGCTGGCGGCAGCGGCGGCGCCGGCGGCGGCAGCGGCGGCCGGCAGCCGTCCAGCGGCGGCAGCAGGAAGCCGGCCGCCGCCAGGCTCGGCTGCGGTCCGCACCGGCAGCGGCGCGTACGGCGAGAAGCGACACTTGGCAGAGCCGGCCAGCGGGCTGTAGTAGGACAGCGGCGGCGCCGCCAGGCCGGCCACGCCGCCGTACGGGTACGTGCCGGAGGCGACGGCCGCCTGCAGGATCATGGCGGCCAGCGCCGGGTCGGTGAAGCGCGGGTCAAGCGGCCAGGCTGTCATCTGCTGCCGCTTGTGCTTCATACGTCGGTTCTGGAACCACACCTGGCGGCACGCAGAATATCCGTCAAAATTGACCACCCGCTAACACGCCGGACACTCCGTGAGGAGGGACCAAGTGTTTGATTGAACAGAAGCCACCAAGTTACGCTTTCTTTGTATTACATCGCTATTGTTGTTATTTAGGCTTAGGGCGCGTCAACAGCCGCGTTCATTTTGCGCAGTTGTTTTTACATTGCTATTACGAAACACGGACTGCCCTTAACCAAAATTACACATTAAGAAAGTGAACACAGTCCTTGGATATACGCGCCAGCCACTGAGTATCCCATGGCGTTAGACCATGGGTTGGAAGGCCTGGGATCGATTTTCACAGCGGTAAACATCCGTTGTTACGCCTGTTATTATCAACGTTAACGTTATCGGGTAACGTTGGCCCGGTTTCTACCGCTGTAATGCAACAGTAGCCCCAACAAAGGCATTCAGGGACGTACATCATAGCAAGAATAAGGTAGGAACAAAGATAATTCAACACATTCAAGTGCCCAGCCGTGTTGGTTGTAAAAAAAGAAACCGTGGCACACGCTAAAAACCAAGCCATCGTAGACTGGAAGCCAATCCGGTCTGCAGCTACATAACTGAGTATTTTCGCAACGGAGGTACAGCTATGATATTCTCACATTCACATGACGGAACGCCAGATTGTGTCGTGAAGGGACTGCTTCGCGGGAAGTGAACGTCGAAAGGTGCTTCACGAATATCTTCGAAAGACGAGAAGTCATTATTTAATGAGCTTCTTTAAGTCCTCTTCGAGTAGGTTCAGTCACAAGAGATCTATTATCCGGCAGTATGCCTGTTTGAAGCCAGATGCCTACCGCGCCCTAATGGTGTCTATCGGCTACGGACCAGATCCGCCCCCCCCCCCCCCCATCCTCAGCGTGAATGCCCAGGGCCCCAGCTCCGCCAGTACCCGGTGACCCATTCCCGTACCTTGATGGTGCCTTCAGCCAGACTCCAGCTCTGCCAGTGCCCGGCGCCCTATTCCCGTACCTCGATGGTGCCTTCGGCCAGACCCAGCTCCGTCAGTGTCGGTGCCAGGTGCCCTATTCCCGTACCTTCATGGTGCCCTCAGCCAGACCCAGCTCTGTCAGTGCCCGGTGACCCATGCCCGTACCTTGATGGTGCCTTCGGCCAGGCTCCAGCTCCGTCAGTGCCCGGTGCCCTGTTCCTGTACCTTGATGGTGCCTTCAGCCAGACCCAGCTCTCTCAGTGCCCGGTGCCCTATTCCCGTACCTTGATGGTGCCTTCGGCCAGACCCAGCTCCGTGGCCAGCTCGTTGCGCTTGGGCCGGCTGACGTAGTTGTCCTTGAGAAACTCGGCCTCGAGCCGTTTGATCTGGTCGGGCCGGAAGGCGGTGCGGTAGCGGCGGATGCCCGGGTCCTGGGCGGCGCTGAGAGCGCCGTCGCCGGCCAGCTTGGCCGCCGGCGGCGGCGAGCACCGCTCTGTCAGCTGCTCCGTGCTGTCGCACGACACCTCCACCTCCATTCCTGGAGAAGAACCCCCATGTAACGGTCACTCTACCACCCGTACATCTGCGGTAACTTGATCGCGCAATAGTCGCTCGTGCCTGACGTGCGCTTGTGTTTTGTTTGTCTAGTATTCTCCACCTAGCTCCCTAGGTGTGAAACGAGCTTTGATCCAAAGCGTTAAAACAATTGGGAAGGGAAGTTCACCCGCACTGGTTGAGGTTGAGCACTGGTCAACCGATACAGCTTATTAAAGGATGTGAAATATATAAGATGGTCAACCATTGGCATCAACGTCATTATCGGCGGATAAAATTACCAAGATGCTCTCAACGATACGACACGGCGGCTCCGCCACAAACTCGCCGCCCGACGTCGGCGAGCAGTCACCACTCGACCCCGCCTTCACCACTTCCTCGGAGCTTCGGTGTACGACCGCAGGGGGCTCTGCCATCCGGCGGGAGAGCACCACTAATGCAAGCACGCGGATGCCATTCGCGCACTGCGTCGATACAATCGCCCCGTCACGGAAGCCTGCTAATTGGCTTAGTAAGACCGGCAATTTTATCGCTGGCTGTAAAGTTCTTGTTGAGACGGGACCAGCGCCGGGGGCGGGTCTCGCCGGAAAGGTGGGCGGCTGTTATCCACCCCTCTCCCCTTGCTGTCGCATGCCGCAGTCTGTGGTGATGTTAGAAGCGTCAGGACGGGTTGGGAAGCGTCGGTTATAGGCGGGATGCATCTGTCAAAACACCAGAAGGGGAAGAAGCGTTTCAAGTACCGTATCTGAAGTGAAGGCAACTGGATCCAGGCACTGAGACGGAGTACCAGACACGATGCGTTGTAAACGGTTAGGGGTTGTGACGCCGTTTTATCATAGGGCTGGGCTTTGGTGTTGGCTTGTTATTGGCTTGTTATTGTTATTGGACAGCAGGAACTTATGGAGCATTTGAGCCCCAACGTTATGCATCTTGAGCATAAGGCGAGCGCCGAAGTCAAAAGCAACAAGAAGCTGTAGAACACCTTGACTGATATTCGAAACAGTACGGCCGAAATTCGACGACAAATTGAGCTCAGGATTTTGCATGGGCTGATTTCCAGACTCGGGTCCCCATTCTCAGCACAGTTTGGCGCTTCTGCCTCTCAGCAATGAAGTGAGTGGGGACAGAGGAGTATGCAGGGTTCCGCAATAGGGAGGATTCAACCGGAAGTGCTCCCCGTATACCATTTCGTTGTGCTCAAAAGATATTAACCATAAGCTGTCCAAAAGGATGCAGTTTCCTATTCAGTTGAGGGGATCTAACCCCCCTCCAATTTGGGCTCCAGCCCCGCCCCCCCCCCCATCTCCAGCTTTGAGAGAGAAGTGGGTCCGGTTCAGGTAAAGACACGTTTCTTGACGAATTCTGAGGTCGCAGTTGGCCCTTGAGCACACCCCTGAATGAGATGATATAACACGGGGCTTCCTCTGGGACTAATGACGCAGAAAATTGGAAAAAGGCGCTGATTGCGGTAATTTCTAATGCTCTCCCAACATTTTGAGTTGCATGTCACCTTTGGACAGCAATGAGCGAACGAGTCGGCAGCACCCTCCGACAGTCGAGCTCAGAGTCGAGGTCTTAGTGGAGACGCGGGGGTGCATTGGAGGCAGCGGAGATGCGGGGGTGCAGCGGACGCAGTGGAGGTGCGGGGTGCAGTGGAGGCGCTGAGGTGCAGTGGAGGCAGCGGACGCAGTGGAGGTACGGGGTGCAGTGGAGACGCAGGGGTGCAGTGGAGGCAGCGGAGGTGCGGGGTGCTGTAGAGGCAGCAGGGGTGCGAGGGTGCAACGGGGCAGCGGGGGTGCGGGGTACACTAGAGACCCGTTGCGGCCGAGCTGGGACCGTGACCCGCCCCTGCCCGGTCCAAGGCGACACCGCGAGCCCGGCGCCACCGCCGCCGCACGAGTGGTTAGAAAATTAATAAAACCGTCATAAAACGCCCGTGAAGCTGTCCGATGCGTCGATAACACGTCCAGGGCCCGACCGAAGCCATTATGCCGTGCATAAACGTATGGCGGTATCTGTAACGAGCGACGCTATCTGCGACGGCGGTGTGCGCAGCTCGCCGGCTCGACAAAGCCGGCCCGGTCACGGTCCGACCGTAACTGCGCCGTAACTGCCGCCAGCGTACGCCGGCCCGGTGCGGCAGGTGAGGGGGGGGGGGGGGGCGCCGGCGAACGCCGCCGCCGTCCTCAGATGACGGCTCGTCTGTCGATGACCGCGTGACGTCAGAGGTCAGCGCGGCGGCGCGCTGGACCCGGTGCGGCCGGCCGGCCCGGCTGATACACAGATGAGGTCACGGCGGCGCGCCGCAGTGGCCGCCGCCTGGGCGGGGCGCCGGCTGCGCGCGCCGCCGGCCCCTGTTTACGGGGCCACAGTGCGACGCCGCTGACGAGTGAGCCGGATTGATGAGCGGTGGCGGCTGCCGGAACCGCCGCGCGGCCGCGCCGCGCCGCGCCGGATACGCCGGATGTAACGCTCGACCGCCGGCTCGCAGCGACGCGCGGCGACCCTGGCCGTCGAGGCGCCAGCCCTGGCCCTGACCCGGAGCCGGGACCAGGGCGGCCGCGTGCTGGACAGGCCCGGGCGAGGCGGCGCGCTGGGCGGGGGCGGCTGCGAGGCGTCAGGGCGGCCGGCCGCCGGCGCGCGCCGTCGAGATGTGCCCCCGCAAGATTGATGATGGTCAGCTACTGAGCACGCCGTGCGAAGCCGACTGTTACAGAAGCTTGGCGCCTGGTTCGGTATTGCGGGCGCCAGCAGGGACGCAGTCAGGCACACGTCTGAGGGAGGGAGAGGGGAAACGCACTGGGATGGGTCCCGAGCGGTCCGTGCCAACACCACGCTGGGCAAGTGGTAACAAGCATAAGCGGAAGAAGGTAGAGACGAAATCCACCCACGACGCATCCCTTGGGTAGGTGTCTGGACTCAAGGTTCGGGAATGCGGCATCCGGTGTCGTCCTTTGCTGTCCGCTACCGTCCGATACCATCCGATGCCCTTTGATACCTCCCGGTACCATCCGATGCCCTTCGATACCGTCCGATACCATTCGATGCGGCATGAATGAAAAGGTTGAATGCTTGCTGCTCGTGGGAATTACATGGGGACGGGACAACTGGGACTTCTCACACGAGGTTGTGTGAATGCTCACAACGGCGAGTAATAAATGACATAAAAGTGATTATGGGACACATTCATTTTAGCACCCTCATACCATATCTAGACCACATAAGACACACGTTAATACGATAGCGAATCAAACGAATTCGCATTGCGGGTCCAAGTGAGCTTCAAGGTGCCCCTTGTTTGTACCGGTCCATGGACACCCTGCATCACCATCGCAGCGTCAAGCGACAATGCAATATCACACAGACTTCAATGACACTACTAGAGCACGTGACCCACCCTTCGGCATCTGCGAAGCAATCAGCGAACGGCGATCTCGCCCGCGTACTGACCGAGCCTGGTGGCGACCTCCGCCGCGTGCTGGCCGAGCCGGACGACGGTGGCCTCGGGCGGCGAGCCGCTGCTGTCGGCGCTGACCTCCAGCGTTTGAGCTGACCCCAGCCTGGAGACCGAGTCGGCCGGGCCGTCCGACTCGTCGTGCGTCTTCAGCGCGGGCTGAGCGCAGCGCCCGTCCGCGGATGACGCCAGCGGCCGTGACATCGGCGGGTCGGGCGGCGCGCGCGGCGGAAGCGGCGCGGTAGCGTCTGCGGTGCGCGAGGAGCGCACGGGAAGCCACCGGAGCCGACGGAGGCGTTGCCGGCCCGGCGAGCTCCGACCGGCGCGCGGCCGCCGCTCGATACCGGCCCGTGGAGGCCAAGCCGCCGCTGATTGGCCGAGCGCAGGACGCGACGGACGCTGATTGGCTGCCGCGTGGCGCGCTGAAGATTGCTTTGGCGCGCCTTGATTGAATAGCTGAAGAGAGGCCCGGGTGACCGATGCGTCGCTCTAATGTGTGATGAACGGGCCGCGCGGCGCTGGAGCGGCACAGATGCACCACGCGCTCAGCGCCAGCAGGTGCCGGCCAGCTGTTGGACGTCAACGCCGGCACTCGCCGCCTTTTGATCTCCTGTTGACCCCATCAGTTACTCCTGGTCCGACTGCACTCTCGACAGCCCACAGTTCCTCCAGATCATGACGGCACCTGTCAACAGTTTACAGTGCCTCCACATCGTGGCCACACTGCCGCACTGTTTGAAGCATGTATGGGGCCTAAAAAAATATAGTGGGGGGGGGGGGGGGTGAAGTCATATCTAGGTACTTACAGCTCCTTAAATAGGTTTGTTTTTAGACTTTATAATCACTTTTTGATGACTTGGATCACAGATTAAGGGACCAGGAAAGTAACGGAGGGTCGGAGGAAGGGGGGGGGGGGGGGCAACACAATCGAAGATGTATAAAGCTTTTATCTTGTTACTTGCTGTTTGCAGTCACACATTGTTGGCAGCGCAGTAGACCTCTTCGTAGATGGCATTTTTAGTATCCGACTCAAGCCGGCCGCTAAGTGGAGGGTTCAGCCCATCCACGAATTGCTGCGTCTAGAAATAACAATTTAGTCTATTCGAGGTGTTGTATGGTGATTTTTGTCCATTATTACCCGCATTAAACCGCTTTTACACTTCAGTCTAACGTTAACCGCGCTGGACCGCGTAAAAGAGCGCAATGATGTCACATCTTCCATCCGATTCACAGAAATCCAACTTCGGAAATCTGTTCCAGACTTAACCCATTCTTTTAAGCATAAAAGTGCTATGTCATGTTTGGGACATAGACGTGCCTGAGCCACATACACACGCTCCCTTTCCATTTCCATATTCCTGCTCATTTTCGTCTGTCCTGGCTGTACCACAAATTGTCAGATGGACCCAGCAATGGTCTACTTTGGTCCTTAGGGCTTGATTGAGCTTTGACAGCTCGTGAAGCAATCTCAAGAGTGTTTAAAGTTCACAGAAGCCAGATACATTTTTTTGCCGTCTGAGGGTAATGCGGAAGTGGCAGTATTAAATAATCGAATCGCATTTCATGTTATTAAGCCGCAAGAGGCGTGCAGCCTTATCCTCCCGTTGTAGTGACACCGTTATAGTGACACCTCTCGTAAATGCTAGACTCAGTGAATGTAAAAAGGTAAAGAGACAGTATTTGCTCGGCTTGTAACACCAACAAGATTTAATAATTTTAATTTGTTCACACGCACCCGGTGTCGGTTTAAATGACTCCACGACATTAGTTCTGCAGTAAAAGCTCCTTTCGACAGAAGTGTTGGGATGTTATTTCTACTGTCGATACTTATACACGACAAAACAGTACTCCGCAACAAAACTTATAGCGCAAAAACTTATATTCGCCATCACTTCTGCTGCAAACACTTACGCAGTCATTTCTTATATACGACTCTACTTCTACTGCAAATACCCGTCCCCGCTTGTGGTGTCACACGCTAACATCCATGCTTCAAAAACTTATGCTCGTGATTGCTTATATTGTAAAATATACGAAGTGGCGATTTTTAGCACAAGAAATGCTTGCTAGACAAACTTTTAATAGTGTACCAGGGATGAGATCGCCAACCAAATCGTGGATTACGTTACAACCTATTCTATTTTCTAAGTCGTTTCTGAGGTACTAGTTGTCTGGCTTCAGACAAATAGAGCAGAAAGTATATTCGTTTAATCAAAAGTGTTGGTGGTGCTGCTTTTTACCTTTAAGCATCTTGTGTACTGAATCAGCATTTTTTCGTTACCAAAATGGTGGCCATGGCTCATAAAACTTCATTATGCGACTTTTTAAGCACAGCGTCTGAAACAATATTGATGGCAAGTGTACTCAGAAGGGTTCAGAAGATATTGCAGAAATACGCAGCCTACTTTAACCTCCCAGATGGTTGTGCTGATCTATGCTCCTGGTAAAAAGACAGCTTGTGCTCTTATGATTATTGTAAACGTTTCTCAAGTTATCGAAAGGTTATAGATACCTAGAAGCCCTCTGTACGATAGCATATTTAGAAGGAGGCCTCATTTTGTGCCATATCCGAAGGGCACGAGGACTAGGACCAGCAGGAATGAAGCTCGTGATATGTGTGCAGTTGTACACCACAGGCGGCAAATTTGACTTCTGCAGCGCCTTTGTTTCGCCATAATTTACTTACTCGTCACTTCACGTGCGCGACTTTTTATGATTTGGTCATGTGAAGTTACCGGGGGCCTGGCCTCTGACAAATTCGCCTAGTCTTTAGGTGCAATGGACGTAAGTTCGCCAAGTCATGGTGGCACTTCGGTGCGTGGCACTAGCATGAAGAGGGCATTTGGTGACTGCTCGTAATCAGGCGCACACGCCATTTTCATAAAGAGAGCGAGAGTAGACTCCCGTCAGAAGTTCCCAGGGGCCAGGGGCTAGGCGGCAAGGGCCTTCCATTTTCGTAAAGAGAGCGAGAGAAGACTACCGTCAGAAGTTCCCAGGGGCCCGGGGCTAGGCGGCAAGGGCCTTCGATAGGAGCCTCATGGGATCCTCTGAACAGCAGCCAGTCACAGCCTCTAATTGGCTATTTTTTCCTGATAAACTCCTGACCTCTGACCTAACCTGACCTGACCTTCTACCCTGGGAACTCCTGGTGTTGTGTCAGTTGTAAGTAAACCTATCTGGCATTGGAGCATTTTTGCGCGCTTTTATGCCATGTTTTCCCCGATGCCCGGGCCCCCTCATTTCCAAAGGACGTACCCGCGTGCCTTCGCCTCGTGTGCATCTCCGAACGCATTATGTGGACCGTCAATCGTTCTGACGCATATAAACAAAAGCCATCCCTATACGGTTGCACTCTTACACGCCGCGTACCACATTGTGCTTAACTAGCACAGACTTCTGAGCCGACTCCACGCTTATACGGTACAACTTGCTGAGCCACGTGGTTGTGGAAGCGAACTTCATGCACCTTAGTCAAGCTTCATGTATTGTAGCTCATGCATTCAGCATTTCTCATGCATAAAACAAAGTTGTTTTCAAGTGATCTCGACCTTGCCATTCACTGGTATATGTCCCACTGCAAGTGCGCTAGGCCCTGGGGCCGCCTCTGACCTGCCTCTGACCCGCTTAGCCAGAGCGGGCGCCGAGAGGGTCGAGCCGCGACAGCGGCGGTTCTCGGCCCAAAAACTCCCGTCACCGGCGCGCCAGACGTTCGCGCCATTTATTCGCGCGTCCGTCTGGCGCGCCGCGCGATTGTATCTGGTTTAGGGGTGCAATCTCCGCGTCCGTCCGTCCGGCGACGCGACCTTGACTCTGAACGGCGGCCGATGTCAAGGTGTGAGGTCGCGCGAATTCTTGTACCAATTGGATATCGTAAAGCTGTCGGTGCCAGAACGCCGGCAGTCGGCGAGCCGGCTGTTTTTAGCGCGGTTCTAGATGAGCGATCGCTCAAAGCCCGTCTCTGGTCCAATTAGACGGACCGTTTGGCTTCTTAGGGGTCGTTACGAAGCATCAGTCGCCCCGCTCAGAGCCCGTAATCAAGTCTGTCGTGAATGCAAATCGGCCAAAGTCACCGGGCTTAGCGAATATACGACGTCGGCTTCGGCCTGAAGGCGGCGGGGCGTTTTGAAGCTCTGGTACGAACGGCGGTCCGTTGGACCCCACCCAAGCCACTTTCGCTGGCTCGAGACACGCCTCGACACAGACGTCAGCCAAACGGTTCCAGATTACGGTACACGTTTTCCGCGTGGCTCCCGTTCTCACGGGCGACGCCGGCTCGCTCCGCCCGGAACCCTTAGCCGGCACGCGTGAAATTTGTCCAATTCCCGTCCGGCCGCGGACTTCTGGGTGTGGACGCCGCGCGGCGACGGCCGCCCATTGTCGTCGGCACAAACGGGTCTTTTGTGGAGACGGATGCAATGGTAGCGTGACGCGGCCATAAACCCATTCGGCCCCAGCGGCCCGCGAGCGGAGCTGTCCAAACATTGACGCGTCGCCACTAAATCAGGGCGACGGCCGCGCGGCGAAAGTCGAGCCTGAGAAGTTCACGCTTAAATCGGGGGACGCCAAAATGTATCCATAACGGGCCCCAGATTCACCACAATAAAGCCATAAAGCGGGACGTCTCACTCGGCCGGCAAACGCGAACGGTCCGACCGTGTCGGCCGACGAAAGTAAAAAACAGGAGGTTTCTCAATAAAAACTAGCGGGATGGGCCTCTTCCTGGAGCGGGGGGACGCGACATACCACAGAAAGGGGAATAGCTGGCGACCACCGACGTGGAGATTGGTTTATAAATTCGGACAGCTATAGCACTTCCGAAAGTGAAGGTGAGCTAGAGGGCAGAAGACACCGGCTATCCAGTCAGTCACCACTTCCCGCTTTAAACAGATGTGTGTATGCTTGTGTGATGGCCCCTATCCGTCTGAAATGACCCATACGATAGTTCATCGAAAGCCTGCAGTGACTTTCACAAACCGTCACCCGACCTGTAATCCACCGTGACAGAGTTCGCTGGCCCCAGCTTACGTCCGAATGGAGCGTCCATGCGTGTTGCCACCAAGCCAACTCGTGCAATACGTTTTCTTCGAGTGTAAAAGACTGCTTGGAGCACAAAATATGATACATGCGGGTTAAATATGTTTCACAATACGTTGACGCTTGACTGCGTCATGAAACGTCCATATGACGTCAGTCGCTGCCAGATTGGCCGTGTCAGAATTGGCACTGTAGCGG